ACACTCACCGGACCTGGGCTAGGACTGGGTCTGGGGGTTCCCGGAAGTCCTGTCCTTTAATCTCTTGCTTTCATTTTTCAGTTTACTTTTAATTCTTTCCAAAGGAATTTGGGGTGCTTAGGGCAGATGCTACCCGGGAAACAATGTGAAGAAACGTTGCTGGGTGAATCCCAGCTCTCTAGAGGCTGAGGCAGGGCATCATCATGCGTTCAAGGGCAGCCTGGACTGCATCGAGAAACCCTGTCTCAAAACACAAAACAAAAATGATAATAATAAAGTTAAGAAATGCTAAGACAGTGGTTGTCAAGCTCTTCTAGTGCTGGAGGTTTTTCTTTCCAGCCATTCTTCCTCAATTGTTTCAAGTTCAGAAATAACCTCACGTCCCTACCTCAGACATTTCACGAGTGCAACACAATGCCTGTCCATTGCACCATCACCTGTCTCCTGCCAATGTGTAGCTCCAAGTGGCTTTTCTATCCCTTCTTCATTTCTGGCTGAGGCTTCAGGTGCTGTGGCCTTGGGACCCTGCAGTTGAACTGAGGATTTTGTTGTGTCTTAGCAGCTGTTGCAGTTCGGTCTGCCCCATAACTGGAAAGTTGACAAATGAGTTGTTTTCATGTGAACAGGAACCATGCTTAGCAACATGAAAAATCTCCCATTTGCCCTTTAAAGCTGAGGCCCAGGACCTGTGAGTGGCCACCAGCCTCCTCTTCTTTTTCCTTATGTGTCCCCACTTAGAGAACTTCCTTCTTGGCTTGTGCAGCTGTATTCCTAATGAGAAAGCTAGGTAGTGGAAGGGAGTCAGAAACGAGCAAAGGGAAAACTTCAATGTGTAAGAGACATGTAAGTGCAGCCCCTTCATTAAGAAGCTGTTGGGGAGAACTTGAGTGTTAGATAATGGTTTTATTTCAGTTGTCTTTTCCCGTGCCTATGAGCCTGTCTACTGTGTGTCATTAAATAATGGCTTGAGCCAGTATGGAAGACTTTCAAGGAGCAAGTGGGCTTCACTCGCCTGCATTTACCCTGCTGATTTCTAATCCCATGGCCTGTGATTGCAAGAGCAAGGGTAAAGCTTGCCTGGAGTGACGGTGGCATGTGCTTGTGAGTTTAAAGATTTTCAAGTACCTGCTCACTGCACATGTCGTATTTGAAGTGGGAGGGTTGGCGGTGTTCTCCTTGGACACAGATGGCCCTCCCAGCCAGAGCGGGCTTGTGGAACTAGGGCTCCTCAGCCAGAGCATCTCTCACTGCCAGGGGTGTGAAGGTGCCGCTCTGTTGGGACACTCACCCTCAAGTGGATGTTAATGCACTGAGACACTTTTCATGGTGGATGCTGGGAAGAGCCCTTAGTCTCAGGCGGCCTTTGGTTCTGACTCCCGGTCATGTCACCCATAAGGAGCATTTGAATCCAGCCAAGTTAGTGCAGCCTGTGTGAAGTGCCCTCCACCGTCCCTCTTAGTAATCACCCTGTCTGACTCAGGGACTTTTAAGGTAGAAGCTGCAGGCTGTGTGAGCAGGCACTGAGCTGCAGCTGAGTATAGAGCAGTGCTCGTGCATGGTACGCAGGGCTCGAGGTTCGATCCCAGCACCTCCACTGTGGGAAGAATACAAAATGAATCAAACAGTGGAGAAAATAGTAAGAGGAACCCAGCTCCCAGCTTCAACATTCATGGGAAATAACCAGTTCTGTTTCCCCTGACCCTCAGCTTGCTTGGGGGGGGGTGGTCTCTGAGTCCTCATGCTCATCTGACCCTCAGAACCTCCTGCCCAGCTCCTCTAGATGCATTAAGACCAAGCACAGCAATGTGCCACCATCAAAGTGAATAACAATTTTTTAATAGCATCCAAAATCCACTTAATGCTCAGATTTTTTTTCCACACAGTTGTTCTGGAAAACAAAGCAGTGTATTCAGGGTTCCCAGGGAATTGAATAACCTGGAGGATGCTGTGGTCATTTGGAGACCACCATCAGCTCGCTGCAGAGACGATTGCTGTGTCCTCCTTCTGCTGTGTGTGCTGTGACATTAGGCGGAGGGGATGACTTCTGGTCTCTGCCCACCCACTGATGCCTGTGAGCTCAGGATCTAGTGTCCTCATGCCAGGGGCTGATGGCATGTGGTGAGCTAAACAGTGTAGCGTCACGGAAGAACTAGATTCCATGTGCACACCCACCTGCAGGCTACAGTCCACTGAGTGTGTGCAGTCCCTAAAGCTGCCGAGTTCACACTCAGAAATGTGTAGCTGCTGTGTTCTCTGAAAGTAGAACTCTATTAGTTTTGCTCCCAAAGATGGAATAGGGCTTATTTTCAGGGGATGTCTTATGTTCAACCATCTACATTTACTCAGAAACAGTACTGTCATCTTTGAGAATGTCATCGTAACTTCCCAACCTCAAATTCTGGGAATTTCTTGTGACTCCTCTTCCTGAACAACCCTTGGCCCAATCCCTCCTGCCCAGCAGGAGAGCTGTCCTGGATGCATGCTTCTTGTCCATGTAGGCTGCTGATCGTCCATTGTTATACACAGGGTGCACTGAGATAGGAAGACTCAGGGTAGATGCAGCCACGTCCGTGCTTTATCAGTTGCGCACAGTATCCAAGCGTCATGTGCATGGTGTGGTTAGTCTCTCGCTAGTGAGTGTCCAGTTCATCTGTTGAAAGTCTTTACCTCTTGTGCAAAGGTGTCCACTTGGGTATTCACAAATACATGACTGTAACTTATATTATCGTTTAAGTATCGATGTCAGTAGTAACATTATTATTTTATAATTCAATATGTTTGTTGTGTCTTGTAGCAGACACTTGAATGCATCTGTCTGGCTGGCAACTTTAACTGGTAATTTTAGGGTAAGGCTTATATTACAAACATCCTGAGTAATACTAGCGTTTATTTTCAGGTAGGTCTTAGTTTTGGGCAGATGCAGTGTTGCATGGCTGTGGTATAGGAATCGTAACAGTAGAACTCTTCCTTCCTGAGTAGTTCTCCACATGGGGCCCCGAGCCAGGGGACTGACCTCTAGCTCTTTGCCTTGTCAGTCAGTGCTCATGGTGCTGCCTGTTCATGAGTCCCCTGTCACAGATGAGTAGGTTCCAGACTGTAGTGCAGGGAGGATTGGCACTCATACCTGGGCTGAGCCTGTGCCCTGTGACCTGCTGTGACCTTGGATGTGCCGTGGGTGGCTGGCATGTTTGCATAGTGACCTAAACACATTGCATGGTAGACCCACACGTGCACACAGGGACTCCGACTGGGTGTCCAGCTCTGGCTTCTGTGTCTTCCAGGAGGCCCTGCAGAGGTACCACACACTGTACGACCTCTCCCGCTCAGAAGAGGGGGCACTGCGCAGCCTGGCTGTGAGCATGTGTTTGGATGGCCAGCCTCTGGCCATGATTCAGCAGCTGCTTGAGGTGGCTGTTGGCCCCCAGGACTTGTCCCCCAAGGACATCGTGCGAAGTGCCATCGAGCAAATAATTTCTGCATTGAGGTAAGTTCTAAATTAACCACTGTGGGAGAAC